TTTTTACGTGATATAGGAACACAAGCATTTACTTTCTTTCAGATTTAACTCTCACGTCCATAGAGTCAAAAAGCTCTAGCTCACAAGCAAGTTGTGAGTTTCCACTGCTCCAGACAAGCAACCTGCTGCTCATCCACCAGGAGACCAGCTCCCCTTCTCTCCCCTCACCTCCCACCCTGCTGACAAAAACAGACCTTTTCTACTCAATTAACTTGCTGATACTTACTACCTTGACGTTGTAAGACTGCTACATCACGTGCAAGGCAAACGGCAGTTCATTACGGCAATGGAAACCAACTTCATAATAACAAAAGAATATCTAAAACACTCATAATATTTCTGGGTTTTGTCTTACACTTATTTTAAGGAAAAGTATTTTTAAAAGATTTTAAAAGTGTGGCTGGCAAAAAGTATTATTTTCTAGACTTACGGGCTTGTTCAATCCAGAGGAGCAAGTTTCTGAAGAACCAGAAGTAATCTGAGTGTCCCTTCCTTCTTCGTAAGCTGTAGTGAATGTGCTGGACACTGCAGAGGAAACCTCTTGGGAAACCCAAGAGGCCGGATCCATCTCTATTTCATGACGGTGTCTGTATCTCTCGATGGCTACTGGAAGCTTTTCCTCTAGGATTAAAAAAGATGGCTGAGCTGATTTTTTTTTTTAATAACTTGGTCACAATTGAGCAGATGCATAGGAAGCTCTGTGCAAAAGCTAATATAAACAGGAAACTAAGTAATTTATTTAAAGTGATCTCTTAGCAGACTTCTGCCTGGGATTTCTATCTCAGACACTAATGGCCCAAGACTTCGCCAATTAAAAACTTTTTACTACTCTATTGCACAATGTTAATTAAAGTGCAAAGCACGAGGTAATTCATTACCCCCTAAACAACACTTAATTTCAACAATGCTGAGATCACTTTAGCAGCACTAAAAATGTACTAGGTGTTTGTCTTGATTTAAAATGTGAAAAACCCTACATTTATCATTCTCTATCAGTTTCAAATTCTAAGACCGCTTCTGATTTATGAAGGCTACCATAACATGAATTGTCAAATAACTATTTTTCTAAGACCTTTCAGATACTGTTTTTTTTAGTTGTCTGTCTATAAATTCCCCTTTAGTTCTGCATGTCCTTTTGACTAAACAGGCTTTTAGCTACAATAAGGCAACTACCATGGCCAAAACAAAGACTTCAAACCAACAGTATACTGTTTCTACGATCATTTATTCCAAGCCAGAAAGGTTAGGTCAGTAATTGGTTCTATTTGCCCTCCCCTCTGCTGCTACCTGAGCTGAGCGGGGTGCTGACGCTCGTCGGTGCGTGACTCGCTCTGGGTGTCTTACACTTCATAGCCTTAGAGTAGCTCTCTTGCTCACAGGAAATACTTGACAAATCCTGAATATCTGTCAGTGATCTAAAGAATTGAAAGATACTTTGACAGTTAGAATATCTACTTCTTACACTTCTGAATTACAAAATTCTGCTCTTTTCAGGTTCTTTAAATTTCACTTTGTTCAGTCTTGCCTAGCTTTTCAGGAGGAAGTTAGACATTCCTTTTGACAGCTTCTCACAGAATTTTTGGAAGGCTTCAGAACGCCATCTTCAATGATCTTGCAAAGACAGAAAAAGTTAATTAACAGCTTTCCCTTACGTTACAGGGCTTCTTCCTTTTAATAATTCTCTTACAAGAAGGGACTCAATAAATTGCCTCCAAAGAGGGCAAGGGCTTCAAATAGGAACCAGCAGATACAGAACTATTTCTAAAGCCAAAGGAAGATCCCAAGACTTAATTAAAATTGAAGAGCTTTTAAATTAAGACTTACTAAATCTTAGGAGCCTTTTAAAGAATTAGGTAGCTAAAGGTAAAACTGCTAAATATCTGCATTGGCAGCGATGTCTACTCAATCACAAATATTTTTAAGCAGATGTAGAACTGTTATATTCAGAAAACTAACGTCTACAAGATATACCCTTGTTTACAGTTTTCTCATGTAACGATCATGTACTGTTATCAGTAAAATCCCAACTATCTGTAAAAATCACAAATATTTTTAAGCAGATGCAGAACTGTTATATTAAGAAAACTAACATCTACAAGATATACTCTTGTTTACACTCTTCTCATGTAATGATCATGTACTGTTATCAATCAGTAAAATCCCAACTATCTGTAAAAACAAACTAACTTTACTAGTAAAGTCACAAACTTAATTTGCTAATTGTTCCTAAGAATCACAATCATCAGCCTATTTTTGTAATTATATTTATGTAACTAAACACTAGCAATCTTTTTAAAATAATTTAATATCTTCTATTTCGTACAGAAGAAACGAGCAATACTTACAAAATATGAAGAGATACACCCAAATTATACTAAATTAATTGCTTATGAACATGAAAATATTTCAAATAGGTAAGGTGTATGATTGCTCTTCTTTATCAACCTCTCTTCTTATGAAAAGTATTATTTCAATACTTTAAATAGTATTCTGCCTCTCAGTTTTGGTCTGTCATACATTCTCATTTATATCAATAGAAAACTTGCAGAATGATACTAAGCCGACTTGTTGCAGTTTCAGTAGGAAACAGTCTGTGGCCTTACACATCTTTCTCTCTGGATTCCTTCTGTGGCTCCTGTAGCATCACTTCTTGTGCTGCTTCAACACTGCAGTGAGGAAGGGGGTGGAGTGGGGAGGAGTAAGATTAATTGATCTTCTTGAAAAACGATGAAAATAACTTTTAGAGAGAAAAAATACTAAATACATTCAAAGGACTACCTTCTCTCTGGGACACACAAACTCCTAAAAAGCTTTTGCTTAAAGTCTTAGAAGACAGGGAAAGGAGAGCTAGACAAAACATGCAATTTTAAGCCTGTTACAGACTTGTAGACAGTATAGAGAATAGGAGGGAAAATTACAAATTTTGACCTTCACTATAAGGCCAACTATTTACACTTGCTCCCTACCTTTGGCACTGATAAGTCAGTCTCTCTAGAGTGACAGTAAGCACAGCTCTTACTCTAGCTCTTACTTCTAGCTCTTACTCCCACTCTAGAGAAATCGAGCAACTGCTAATTCCAGGGGAAAAAAAAACAGGAGCTAAGGAGAGCTCTTAAGCAGCATGAAAACTACTGCTGACTCTCTCTGCCTCCTTACGGGAACACCCCTCTTACAGAATTGCAGGGTGATTCTGGTGACATCTCTATAGATATTAGGACAATACAAGATTCACAGAAACACTGGACGTAACCCTCATGTTTGATAGATAACGAGACTGCAAGGAGCAAAGCTAGGGGGAATATCATCTCTAGGTGAGCTGCACTGAACAGACTTGCATCAGTCTTTCCATGGCAAGGAAAAGGCAGGCTCTTCACACCATTTGAGCTCTAACACAAAAATCTAAAACCAGTGAACAGAAGTCCTAATTTGAATTATCTTTGCTCTGCTTAAGACTATTGTATATCAGACTGTTGTACATTCAGTAAAAGGAATTGTAATATACATTACTTATTTTTTTCTATTTATCTCCCTCATTAGGCAGACAAAAAGATATTAAGCACAGTAAAAGACAAAGCCCCACGAGACTGGTGAAAGTCCTTTTAATATTTTCTTGCCAAGAAAATATCATACATGGTTCATCATTAAAAAACACCACTGGCATCCTATTTGAATATTAGATATATGAGCAGAATTAATAAAGAGAGCATATTTATAACCTAATTTATGCTTGAAGTAGCAATGAAAATAATAGTCTTTCTACCTGGCTACAGGCATATGGCTAAGCTGATTCACTCCTAATGTGTTACTGCCAGAATTCTGTGCTGCTGTGCTGCAGAATAATATTTTTCCTCCTGAATACAAATAACAAATGTTCCCTGTTATTGGGTTTTGCAAGTACAAAAGAAAATGACACAACTCATTGAACAGGAAATTACAACTTTATTGTATTTTTTAGTTCTCGTGACCTTTGTTGTTGTCAAAAGACAAACACATTTCTAAAGACACGTTTTCATAAACATACCGCAGCTGCCAGAGTCAACCACTGGAGCATTCAGGAACGCTGCATTATTTACAAATTTGAGCTAAGACAAATAATAAATAGAAGAGATGAACGAGGCCGATCCTTGCATTATTTCGCACATAGGTTGTCAGCTCTTACAATTCTTAAATTCAAGAGACTTCAAACAATAAGACTATTAATGTATAAAAACAAATCTGGTTGTTTCCAGCACCATAGCAACTTATATGAAAATGTCAAGCAAAGGTTGCAGGCAGAGTTTTAGCTGAAACACAGCAAGTGCACAACACTGCACTCAACCCGGCCACCATGCCCAAGCCTCGTCTTCCAAAATCGTACGTGTACTCATTAATTAAGACTTAATAAAGTCTCATTAATATAATGGAGAATAAGAGACCAAGCAACCCAAAGGAATCTAGCTTCAGCTTTCTAACAGGAATTCTGCTGACAAAAATATAAGTGCAACAAAAGATTTGTTCTTGCTGACTCACGTTTCCTCAAAATAAAGAGCACATTTAATAGCAATACCTGATCCAGCACCACCAGGTAGTTGTTTCTGTGCATAGGCTTCTTGGGTATCTTCTAATGTGTCCTCAGGATCTGAGGTCTGAAAGGGGAAAAAGGAAGCAAATTCAATTTGTCAAAGGCAAGCTGTGAAGTGTGGGACAATTCCTACAAGATGGTGTTTGAAGTTATCACAAAGGAGAGACCGACAGTTTTTTTAAAGAGCTGGCCACTGTGAACAGCATCAACAAACAGCATGAATTGGTTTTAATAATTCATGCAACTAGTTTCAGGTCTTTCTTAGGATATGAATGAAGATTGTTTTAAGACCATGGAGTGCTGCACTGGATAGAACTAGGAAGGAAAGGCTGAGATTACCAGCAGCCTTCAACTTTCCTCAGCCTACTTCCAAAGCCCTTCACCTAGATTTCATTCCTGTCTAGGCAGTGATTTTTACCTCTAGTTCTGAGTTTACTTGAACAGTGGGAGGAAAGAAATAATCAGGATCAGGAGTCAAAAATTCTTCGGACACATCAGGAGATGAATCAGGGAAACAATGCAATTCCTTTGACTGCCCCTGTGAAAGATGCTATTATTTAAGAAGCTTTCTCTACTCCCTAACAAAGATGATGCATTTTAGTTAATAATGTTAAACACAACATCAAGCTGAAACAATATTTAATTTGATCATTTTGTTTCAGTCCTAGCTCCTGCTGCTAAGATTACCCTCATGTTTAATAGAAGGAAAGGGGGTTGGAAGGATGGCTGATCAGATTGCAACTGAAAAGTTAGCACTAGCTACTGTCTTCATAGTCCACTGTGCAGAGACTAGGCTAAACTGTTTCACAGAAAACTAGCAAAAACGAGATTTCTTAGATTGCTATACATACACTGGAAAGATTCTCAACTTGTTGAGGAATGACTGGATTCTTTGGATGGGCCGTTCCAGGCTCTGCTTGCTCATCTTCGGATGGTGACTGGCAACTTCTCCCTAGTATGTCACAACGGATGCAATTACTATGCAAAGAGTATTGCAGACTGAGTGGTCAGGACCACTGATGGAATATCAATGAGAATAAGGACAGTAAAGCTACATAATCTGTCAGAACATGCCGTAATACAGTTAAGCACTCATATCATTAATTTAGACATGTGAAGCTTTCCTTGTTCCTTTATCCACAACCATTATGAGAGCACTTATCTGCTACAGTGCTACAGAAAAAGTATCTTGCCAGTCTGATTGAAGAGAAAAAATAAAGGAAAGCATGTCCCAGAGATTTGAAAGCTTTGGGTTTCCAATGCTGATGAGATAATCAATGCTGAAGGGTCTCTCAGCTCAGTGGACACTACATTCAAATATTAAAACATAATACTTTGCTTGCTCTGTTATTTATGTTCTTCAAAGACTAACCCATTAATTTGCTTTGGGGTAAGACTCTGGAAGAAAAGGCAACCTATTACTGTAACGCAAGGACAGAAGCTAAAATCTAGCGGGAGTTTGAGAGACCAAATATTCTTTTTTCTGCAGCCTTACCTCCAAAACTTCTGAATGCAGATTCCAGATCACTCTCCTCAGATTCAGACCTCCCCTCGCCACCCAGATGCCAGACACATTCACCTGCCTTCCACCTGCCAACTTTTTGCCAGTCTTGACTTTTTTGGGCTCTGATAGTGACATGTTGAAAGGCTTCCTTTACGCTCTCAGCTTCACTTTCAGATGTATATTCACTGAGAGGATATGGAGAGATGAGTTCTAGTTGCCCTGAAGCCACTCTTCTGGCCATGTGTTTTACTTCAGCTACACAAAAGGAAAGAGGTTATCTGTCCACACAACAGAATTTGAACTGTCAAAACTCTCCCCATGTTTCCTGGTGTCTGCAGACTTGGAAATGGAAAGGTTATAGCTGGTAGATTTCTTTATCAATGGAACAGCTAGACACTTCTCTTTTCAGGAAAGTTTAAAATCTGCATAAGCTGATGTGGCCAGGTCTTTATAAAAACATTTTTCATTTGTTGTTGTTGTTTGTTTGTTTGTTTTTACTTTTTCATGCTGTACTGCCACCCAGTGGTCACTGCTACACTACCCTCTATGAATTACATGCTGTCCCTCCCTTATATCCTCAGAATAGGGTCAAAATTCTTGTTAGGAAGACTCCACACTCTGAATGAGCAAGACAGGATCCTACTCATGTTGTCTTCCTCCAGGAACAGCCTCATAGATCTACAGCAGTTAAGGCATACAGATCTTTAAGTGACAAAAATATATGAAGTTTTAATACACCAACCTACAAGCAAGACTCACTAACTATAATGTTGAATTAACACCAATTTACTTACTCCTCCATTCTGCTTGCATCATTCTCTCCTCACTTATTTTGGCACTGTAAGTTTCAGGCGTTGATTTGGGACAGCACCTAAAACAGATTGTTAGGAGACAACTTAATTCACAAGCATATTGTGTTAAGTATTTGCAAGTCAGTAAAACACCAAGTTTTTTCAGTGTTAATTAAAAGGCTCAGAGCACAGTTTAGCAAGACTATTTGACACTCTCTAACATAGGGCCAGCCCTACAGCTATGAAAGCTCAAGTGTTTCCACTTAGAATTGAATGAGGCTGCACATGAACAGCAGATCCACCCTGACCAGCATCAGTATTATTTTAAAAAAACTTATCAGATTGCTCTCCTTCAGCATTGTCACAATTCACGACCAACCTGCTTGACAGCACCCCTTGAAAAATGTGCACATTTCCACATATATTTGCATATGTCTACTGATATACATACCCATAAATATACATCTCTCTACATACTAAAATAATTTAAACATTTTAAAATTAGTTTTAATATAGTGAAATACCATTGATCAAACCAGTTTCTACCTCTGCCAATTCTAGTCCTTGGGTGGCGAGCACAGACGACCAGCAGAGAAGCATTTGGAGCCTGTCAGATCAGGGCTCCTTCCCTGTAGCTGCCTCGTCGCAGCAGTTACCCTGTCAGCTCTGCGGCTGACAATGAGTCACAGCAGGGTCCTAATTGGACGAGTGGCTTTTTTGGCTTGCTGAGAAAACATTCAATGTCATCTGTGACTCTGGATGTGTCCACTTTTGACAGTGGCTCTAGTGAGATGAGTCTGCTGGAATTAATTCTTTTGTGAATATGATGAGAACTCACCACCTTTCTTCTTCAGTTCCACTTGCTGCAGGACGTGAATCACCCCCTTTCTGAGGCTGCAAGTTGAACTTTTTTTTGCCTCGCTGAGATACACGTGGGAGTAATTGCTGAAATGAGTCCAACAAGCCGTGATTCAGCACACGTCAGGCACTCTTGTGGCAATTATTACTGGAACTACGAGGCATACTAAGAACCTGACCGTGCAAACTGTATTCCCAAAGCTTTATTTCAGTGGCAGCACTTGTGAAAGGATGACAGCTCCAGATCTTAACCCTGTAAAAACCCTGCTACAGATATCTAGCAGGATTCACATATGTGCAAGACTACTGAAAACATGAGCTTACACAGGGAAGGAATGAATCTAGACGATTCAAGATTCTTCCCACAGCAAATATGTGCATAAATTTCTTTACCATTCTCTTTGGGCTAACCATGTTAACTTACTTGTATTTAAATAAAGAAGATGATTAAGAAGTTATTATGAAGCTCTGGCTCTGGCTTCATAGCCAAGTATACAACCCCTGGCCCTAACACCTTTTTCTGGTTCCTCTTTCAACCCCTCAGTCCCACCTGCATTTTAGCATAAGATTTTTTTCCTAGCTAAGGCACTGGACTAACTTCATCTAAGGTCTATAATTATTTTCTAAGGATCCACGAAGAAAAAGACTTATCAATATACTGTGAGCCAAAGAAAAACGGCAGATGGAGAAGATACAGCAAGGTCTCCTTATGTGTCCTTTTTTTTTTTTTTTTTTAGGACAAATTTGAGCAGTATGTGTTTAATGATGTGTTCCTGCATGCAAAATTGTGCACATTAATACGATCACCAGGACACAAAAATCCAGGGCCATTTTTTAAGTAAAATTTGAATCGCTTCACGTCACAGACTATCAGTACAACAAGCAGGCATGAAGCTACTTTACTAGTTAGAGCAATCCAGGGCCATTACAGCTGTAATGTATATATGAAAAGCAAAACAAAATACCAGTATTTTGGGGAAACAAAAGAAGTGACTCTCCTGCACACTGAGCTCACCATTCTCTTCTCCATGAACCATGTGTTTGGCATACACATATTTTAAAAGGTACAAGAGCTATAGATTCTGCCCTTGCTTCCAAACAGCATCCAGAACCCTGTCTATTGACTATCACGATTTTACTAAAGAACGTGGCAGTCAAATGCAGTTGCTCTGCTCAATACTTTACCTCATGATCAAGGTCCATTCGATCATCCAGGCTTTTCTCTGCGCTGAAGTTGAGTCTGTCTTCATTTTCAGTCTTATTCCTTTGATGAAAGCACTTTCCCTGCTCATTCGGGATTGCCCATGTTCTCTCAGCTGCCTTTGGAATAGTTTGGAAATGGTCTTCACTCAAAATTCCTTGTGTCTGACAGGCTATCAGTGGTGGAATATAGTTACTTGAAGGTGGACCTATAGCCTTCCATACAAAGGCATTAACTTTGGAAAATGAGCTATTGGTATTTTGAGGATTGTCATCAGATCTGTTCCAGAATCTTTCTAGAAACACCCGCTTAGAAATCTCATTCATTTGGTTTTCCTGGAGCAGCTTCTTTTGCTTCTCAGCGGTCTCTAATCTGTTTAGTTTCTCCTCTGTTCTGCACAGGGATCCTGATGCCTGCTGTAACATGCTCTGAGCAATCTTTAGATTGAGGACACATTTGCTGATGTGCTGCCCAATCTGGGATGGACTACTCATTCTTTTCCCTGCATCTCCTCCCACTTGCGATCGCTTGCACAGCTCAGATGCCTCACTTAATCTTTCTTCCTCTTCTGTCGTGTGCTCTGTACCTGATTCTGAAAAGCTACCTTCCTCATAAACTGGCTTTTCCTCATAGAGCCTTCCAGGGGATGCAAATAGGTCTCTGAGCGCAGCCTTACCTTCTTTTTGCTGCCCTTTTTTATCCTTCAGATTATGGCCTAACACAGTGCCTTCTTCCAGAAAGTCTTCGTGCAATTCTGCGTAATCGGCAAAGATTTCATTCATTTCAAAGCTGCAGAGGCTCTCGTCCACATCACTGACACTGCAGGTCACCTGCAGTTCAGAAGCTACATCATGATGGGCTTTCTCCTGTGCAGCTGGCTGCAGACTGCTTGGTGTCTCAGCATCCACTAATGCCTCACACTCCTCACGAAAACCAGAGTATCTCTGGGCAGCAGAATTGCCTTAAATAAAACACAACAGACGTCCACCATTTCAGATTGCTTTCACCCATTCAGGAGTCCATACAATTTAGTTATTTCATGAGCAACATTTCATTCCCTCTATTGAGGAGGACATGTCTGCACTTCAATTACTAATAAGAGGTACAGTCCTGAGTTTATATTAATAATTAGGCTGCTAGCTAGAATCCAAATCTCATGGCCTTCTGCTTTCAAAATGTCACAAAAATCTGTAAGCACTTGCACTTTAATTAAGATTAGACCCTCTTGCACTGAGGACCTGCTAAGTGAAGGAACATGACATCTCTGCAATGAAACGCACCCATCTCTGTGATCTCTTCTCCTTCCAATCCCAGTGTTCTTTTCTGGTAGTTAAAAGCTGACGCCAGACAGATGTTTATGTCAGCCAGGACAGCAGACCTTTGCGCTTTTGGTATTTCATCAGCACGACCAGTCTGTGACTCAGTCAAGTCCTGTAATACGAGAAATGCTATAAAATACAATTACATTTGACAAAACAGTGCCTCCAGCTTCTATTTTAAGGCAATTTGTCTCCATGGTCACAGAAGGACACTCCCAAGTTCAGATATGAAACAAGAATTAATTCTTCCTCCTAGATGTAAGCAGAACAGCCTAAATTTGAATAGTTAACTCTGATTAACCAAATACCATTTAAAAAGCACAAAAGGCTACAATCCTGAAAGTTACCTTTAAGTCATTCTTCATCAAATACTGAATATCCTGAAGGTTCATGGAACGGTTCTTCCGCTTAGGTTCTAGCCCTGACTTTACAATATCATAATAGGGTTTTGGAAGTCTGACGTCCGCTTCTAAATACTGCCCCGAACTTATGAGCTGTTTAATAACTGAGTCTTCATGACCATTCCAGGGAAGAGTTTCTGCAAGACACGTAACAGACCTTATATGTTACAAAAAGAAAAGTCAGAGACATTCATTGGACTGTTCTAGTGACAGAAGTCTAAATCTACAGCTATACCTGTCAAGGCCTCCTGCATTACTGCACAGAAGCTATAAATATCTGATTTGACTGTGACAGTTTTTTCAAGGATTACTTCAGGAGAGCACCATTTATACAGCTGGACTGGAATAGGAATACGAGTCAGGTCACTGTGTTCTCCTCCATCTCTGCTGTATATATATAAAAAAAAAAAAAAAGATATTGGGATACACATAACACTCAGCTAGAAGTTCTGTGTTTTGGAATTAAGGCTCTGAGTTTGTCACATTTTCTTTTTGTTTAAATTATTCCTATTCTCCCCACATTTATAAAAACGATAAATGCAGAAGGTCCAAAACAGACCTACAAAATTCCCCAATATTTTCACATTAGTAAATACTGTATTTTAGCCCTACACAGCAGAGACCTCTGCTGGTGAAAGTAGTATCTTTCAAAAATTTACACTCCAATCAAAAAACATTTAATAACATTTTTACTACCAACTCTTTAAGATCTGGCCAACATGCTCACACCAGATGCAACAGAAAAGAAGTGCCACCTAGTCTGTCAAATATTTGTTTTGCAGGGTATATTTATGTCTAGAAGCTGACTATCTCCTCTATAAACTGCACTTTTTTAATTCTTGCTCATTTCACACTAAGCTGTATTTGTTAAAAACATGGTAGCTGTAAATAACACTCAAGATTAACAAACTGATTTTGCAAAGATGTTACAAAATACTTAAAACGTAAGAATTAAGTGCAACTGGAATGTGCTATGTTTGTCCCTTTCACAGAAACAGCGGGGCAATTCTTTACCTCTCTATCATGTATTCCAAGTTGCATAACTTTGCCTCACCAGAAGAGACAATCTGAATAGCATAGGAGGTAACTGAGCGGTGAATGAAGCCACGGGAGTGTAAAAAACGCAAAGTGTCATTAATTTGAAGCAGCAGATGTAGAATTGTCTCCATGCGCAGCACAGGGAATTCCAAACGCTGAAAAAAAAAGGTCTAAAATTGGCATTGGAGATCATAAATCTGGATACAGTGAAAAAACTTACTGTACAGTAGGAGGCAAAGAAAGCAAAAATTCAGCATACTGTAGTAAAGACCAAACAAGTTACACTTACTGAGTAAAGCCTATGTGCCCAGGGTCAAATCAAATAGTAATATGTTAAACAGAAATTAAGAAAATAAATACTGAATAACTCTGAACTCATTCTGAAGCAGAAACAACTCTTAGAATTTCCTGCTGTTACCTGACATCTCTCCAGGAACTTCAGTGTCTGTATTCAGCCACTTAAAGAAGAAAAACTAGGATTCAAGACCAAAGAAGAGAGGAGAAGAATTGTGAGTGAGGATAATGAAACACAAACCAGATGGTGAAGGTGGACTGCAACTGAGCTGAAGACTTTGCTGGACACAGGGGACAGGCAGTTTGTGACAAACTGAACACAAGCATTCAGGGCAAGAGAGAACTCGGAATGAAGACAGAGAGAGATGATTTTGTCTTTTTGTTCTTTGAGCAAGAATTACAGAACTAGTTACTGAACTTTCACCCTTTAATTAATTACTGTTTTAAAAAGCAAAGATTCCAATTACCCGTTCATGCAGGATGCTGTACAGAGAACCGAAGTTAACCCTCTCATACACTAAACGGGTTTTCTCCAAGTCACTAGACAGACAAACAGACATCAACTGCAGCAAATGAGGATGACGAAGTTTACTGCAAAGGGGAAAAAAGTTTAAGGCAAATCTGAGGTTAAAAGAGTGTCCTGGCCTTCTAGGGCTTTTTAGCAACATAACGTGAATGCATCCAACTTATTGCTAAAATACACAAAAATAAATATTTAATAAAATAATTGGCTACAAGGCATTTGGGAATGAGTGACATTCCCATACAGATGGGAAGCTCATCTCTTCCCATATTAGCCATTGCAGGGGGAAAGGAGGTAGGAAGAGACAGAGAGATGGAAGACAACATGTATTTCTCATTTGGAAAGAAAGTGCAACCTTTCTCCTGAGGTTATTCACACTTCCTCACATCCCTGGAGAGATCCAAACCCCTGGAGCACTTACATTCTTTCTTACCTGCTATATTCCTGCTCTGCAATGAGAAGATCAGTGAAACGCAGTTTACTGCAGTTCTGATGAGGCTCAAAGCTGAGTTCCTTCACTGTAACTCTGCTGCCTCCCCACATTGAGCTATAAGAAGAGTTTCCACAGACACTTTTTGCTATTTTTTTCCAGTTACAGGATCATTTTTAAATAATTCTGTAATTCCCACAGCTCAGATGCTGTTTCCTACCATCAGTAAGCAAGCTGTTATTTTGACGATTGAGGCAATAGGCATTCAGTCTTTCAAATCAGCAATTCATTCTCATCCTGTTAAAGACGAGGTGTAGCAGGACAGGCTTCCTGTCCAAAGACACTACCTTCCCATGACCCAAGGCAAACAATGATGATGCAAAAGCTCCCCAGGCCACTGTGACATAAGTGAGATCTCTGGGAGAATTAAATCACTAACTTGCTGATTCTCTGGATGCCTCTTTGGGACAAAACTACTTGCTACAGAATACAAAAAAAATAAAAGAAACAAAGAAAAAAGGCTCAGGCTGCCCTTACAACTTTCATCTCACCATAGTTTTGAACAAACGGGCCACGCACACATATCCAGAGGCTTGAGAGATCCTAAAAATCCTTTTGAGTCCTACTCACTTTGTCATGACCATGTATGGTCCAACATGGTAGGAAAATGTTGGTTCATCATCTGCCTGGACCACTTCTTTTTCCCCAATAATAGGGAGAGAGGCCAAGTACCCAAGATGTCTGCTGCCTGTAAGATAAAACTGAAACAAAAGCAATGCATAACCAAAAGGAATATGCACCAGCTCCCAAGGTCACATTCACCACAGACTCCCTGCAAACTTTAACACAATCACTGCAATGCAAAAATTTAACTTTCATATTTCAGTATTGTTAAGATATCAATATCAAAACTTAACTCTCTATTGATGCTGAAATAAGGGCAGCTCAAACAGCCACAGGTGAAATTTCACAGCTGAGTTTTTACTGTCCCAAAACAGCTCCCTCTGATAGAATTCATGCATCACTAAAAGCCTGAACATCTGGGCTCTCCACAGTTTTTTTCCCACCATTTCAGTAGGAATAAGGATGTACTAATAATTAAAAATAAAATAGGTAGGGTAATTGGTATAAAGAAAACACGTATTTTAAAAACATGAAAAACTGTACTAATATCATATGACTATTATCCATAGCATCTTACCTTCCCAAAACCAAAGCTGTAAATGTTCCTAGCTGAATTAGCTCCACCTTTCAGAAATCTACTGAGAGGATTCTCAACATTTCTGAATATCAAAAATAGAGATTGCACAAAAAAGACAAAACCATGTTAAGTTTAAGATATTAGAATAAGGAATTTAAATTCCTTGCAGCTCATTTCCTCAATACTTGCAATTAAATTCTTACCCTTGAACAAGAGCACCAAACCTGGACGGACTACAGATTAGGGCTTTTGGAGAGTCAACCTTCCTGAGCAGATCAGAGGGAAAATTTTGAATGGCGGCCTGCATGTGTGATGAACAGCGCTGTATGAATTCCAATATCTAAAGGAGATGGGGGGAAAAACATTAACTTGGAACTGCAGATTATTTTATTTTAATACATAAATCCCAACTAAGGAAAAAAAGTAACTTATTACTTGCAATATTTAATAGTAATTTTAGCCAATAGAGAGGTAGAAAAACTTGGAAAAAAATCAATTCCATGAAAATGTAAAATAGCTAACTTCAAACAAAAATGACTAACACTTCAAAGACATTCACCCACTGAAAATTTTAACATTTTAGAAGACTATTATGACAACATGAAAGAGGAACATTATAATATTGCAGTTTTAAACCGGTGTTTTACCATGCTACCATGATAACAAAAATGCCATTTTTGTTTCTTGACGGTGATCACTTACAGCCTGAGGTACACAGAACCTCTGAGAAGCTTTAAAATCTCTGATGAGTTTATTCCTCAATTACACTTGTGTGCAAACAAGCTGCGTACATCAGGGAGGGAAAACAAGGGCCTGTTATGCTCCTCATAGCACACAGGCATAGCAGACAAAAAGGTTACAGACCCAGACAGGCCCCTGCACCTTAGTAAAACTTTAATTAATTAATCTGAATCAAAAGTTATTTTCAGAACACCATTGTTAACATTAGAATAAATAGTTAATATCTTTTCCACACACAAAACCTCAGTAATTTCTCCTGGAAATGCTGAAGTTTCTTCGCTACAAGGTGAATACGTGAACACATCCCTAGCACATACTCAATGTATATGTACCTGGGCACTACTTTCTTTTCCAGCTGACATTGCCCAATATTGTGGATTTCTTCCATCTTTGTCATGCACTCTCAGATCACCTCCTCCATCTAGTAACTTGCTAAGAATCCACTGATTTCCCGAGAAGGCAGCTGCGTGGACCGGGGTGCTTCCGTCATAGCAGCGACTGCAGAAGATTAATGGAGAAATGTTTCAGCCTACCCCTACCACACTCACCTAGCACTGCCAATGGTAAAAAAAAAAAAAGACCTAGAATGTGTCTGTACTCCCGAAAAACAAGATTTAGAATCTGAGGTAAGGAAAATTAAGTACCTACTTACCTCTAAGGATCTTAGGGTAAAATAGTAACAAGCATCTAAAGCACTTCTTCATTTAAATGCAGGGAAAAAAAAAATGCACTGCGCTGACCAAAGTATCAAATGATGATACCAGTTTCAATTTAAGAATGGGAATGCATGTTTTCTACTTAACTGGTTAGGGTCTGAGCCATAATCCAACAGCACATCCACTATTTTACCCAGACCGAGCAACGCAGCAGTGAAGAGAGAGGTTTGGCCCAAGGAATTTCCTGCATCGACAGAAATGCCTGCAAAGAAATAGTAGATTAGGAAAATCTCAGGGATTCTGGTTTTCCTATTTAAAAAAATAATAAAAATAAATAAAAAGAGGGAGAGGAGGGGAGGGGAAAAAGGGGGGGGCAGTGTATCTTTAAGTCTAAAACTGAACACTGCATTCCTTTGGAGATACAATATTAAAAATATCTGCTTGCATAACAAAACAAAACAAAAAAAAACACAGGAATAGCACAACCACAACAAGTAGAAAGGATATCTACAAGGACACAACCTTAGTCCCCGAAATGCTGGTAAAAATACGGATCAAGGATGCATCTGCTTTTGTACCATGAGAAAAAAAGACAAACCACAAAACACAGGAATAGCACAACCACAACAAGTAGAAAGGATATCTACAAGGACACAACCTTAGTCCCCGAAATGCTGGTAAAAATACGGATCAAGGATGCATCTGCTTTTGTACCATGAGAAAAAAAGACAAACCACTCAGCCCGTGCTCTCTCCCTCCTGCTCCCCAAGGGAAGCAGGAACGGTCATCAATGGTCACGGCCGCTACCAAGGCAGCACCGCCACCCGCTTCGCGCTCAGGAGAGAGCACCGCGCCTCCTCCTCGTGGCTTGCGAGACCGGACACTTTCGATCACACTCCTCTAGTTACCAACTACAGAAATGATCCCTGAAAGTATAGTCCTGCCCATC